CATACTTTTCAACATACTTCTCAACTGAACTACCAGTAAGTGACGGCAAGTCACTTAATGAGTGAGTATTGAGTCATTCATTCAACTGATTGAGTGTGTCATCATGCTGCTATCTTAAGGACCTTCGTGGACAGCTGACTCCTAAAGTTTTTGATATTCTTCATATTCTGTGTGGTGGTCAGATAAGTTTAAATAGATTTTTACCTTTTATGGGCATTTTACCTTTATAAAGCCATTTTTCTATAAGTGTGCATTATCTTTTGAGTCAAATTCTTACATTTAATCAGTGAATAAGAATAAGACATTTGGGCTGTTACCAAGCAAATTAAATCAGTATCAACAAAATTCATCTTTGCAATCCAGACATAAAGCTGCATCTGAAGTGGCATTTAGATGTGTTTACACACGGTTTAATGCAGAACATGAATGCATTTAACCTGCAGTTACAAATGCATAAATAATGTTTTGATATATTAAACATAAAACATTGAATACTGATATTTGAAATAATAAAAAAAATGAAAAGATACTTTAAATGTGAAATTAAAAGCGCCAGTAGGTGGCAGTAAGTCACTGTTAAGTGAGTCATTGCGACTGAACCGAATCATTTAAACCGTTGATTCATTCAGGAACAAAACACAGTCTTGTTGCTCAGAGACGCAAAACAGCACTGTGACTGTGTTTGGAATTATTTTTATTGGCGAAATAGAGCAAAAACGGGCAATATGGTGTCTAAAACGTAAGTCTCTTAATAAAACTTCTAGTTTATTGAACTGTTGTAAAAAATTAACATCACATTTGTATATGGTAATTTTTGGAGAAAAAAAGGCATTCTTCTGTGTGAACTTGAGTATAAATATACACATTTTCTGCCCCCATGTCTCGAATTTGTGATCATTCCGAATGTATTTTAATAGACTGAATCATGCAATGATCAGGCAGAGCGCACTGCAAATACGCACACGCACTAGACTTCACGTAATGCGTGCACTCTGTAGGTGTTTTGAATATTTGTTTCTTTTGCGTTGTGAGAATATTGAGCAAAATAGCTCACTTGTCATGGTGTTATTTAACTATGTTATGAATAAACTAAACATTTTGAATTTTTACCTCAGTGTGTTTCTTCTGAGTTTATGTGTGCAGTCATGCTCATTTGTTCTGAAGTCTCGAGACAAACAGAGTGAGCCTCAGCGCGAGCTTGTATTCTGTATTCTGCTAACTTGCTGCAATTCTCTCTGATGACGCAGTAACTTACCGTGGGAAGAACAAATCTTTGGTCTGTCCAATGATTGTAAAGTCATTAGGTCCGTCAGACTGAAGATATTTTAGCGGTAATGAGACCAAAAATAATTAAGACCCATCGAATCCGAATTTAAGACATTTTAAGACTTTTTAAGGCCTTATATTAGGAAAACGTTATTTAACACTTTTTAAGGACCCGCGGACACCCTGCTCATAGCAATCTAACGGTTAGAGGGGTGTGTTTAAGGATATTCTGCCCAAGCCGTCAAACTGACATCATCAGAGAAGGAATGCCATTCCAGAGTGGAAGTAAATGTTCAGATTTTGATTAAAGATTACCAAAACAAATTATTTTTTTCAGCGGATTAACTTGCATGGATTAATTGTTAACATCAAGACTAGCAATGTGCGCTAGTAAAGTAAATAAAGTTTAAAGGTTTTTCACTTTTCACATTACTTATGACCCCTTTAAGGCAGGGTTCAAATGTACCGAAATAACTCTTTATTTAAATAAGCCAAAAAACAAATATACAAACAGGCAGAAAGAACAGACATAGAGCGCATCACTGACGCAATGCTTGACGTAAGATGTATGTGTTTACATCAAAGCTGCGCGCCAGTTTAAATGGCAGGTTACTTGTTAAATTTCTGTATATGTACATGTACAACCACAAATATTAACGAAGTAAACATATTTTATTCATTGCCTTAATATAACATTGTGTTAGTGGCTAAATTGCATTGCAATTAATCAGGGGTCACCAAACTCGGTCCTGGAGGGCCGGTGTCCTGCAGAGTTCAGCTCCAGCCAAGATTCTTTATCAAATTTATTTAAATTATTACATTCTGTAAATATGTAGTAAGAGACCCATTTATTTGGTTTGAAATAAGAACATTTTCTAAAATTGTATATATATATATGCATTCTTAACATTTTACACACACACACACACACATTTATTTTTATATATATATATATATATATATATATATATA